CGGGCCCCGTCTCGCCCTCCCCCCTTCTCGCGCGTGGCTCGGGGCTCGCTCTCCGCCCTCGGCCTCTGTTCTTCCTGCTCACGGCACCTGGACCCAGACGGCCGCCTTGCTCTGGGCTCCCCCACTCCGAGGTTCCTCGCCACCTTCCCTGACTTCTGCCACCATGCGCCTGTGTGTGGAGACAGGCTAGAACACAGCCTTGCTCCCTCAGGACGCGGCTCCAGCCCCGTGAGCTGTCGTGCAAGTGTGATGAGTTAGGGGAGCACTCGGCCGCTGGTGGTGTCCTGAGCTCTCTGGCGCCCCGGGCCTGGTGCCAGGCCCGACCCCCCGTGTGCCCGCCTGGGGCTGCTCAGGGTAGGCGGGAGGTTCTCGGGCCCCAAGCAGCACAGGGCAGCCAGGCCGCGCCTGGCAGTGAGGGAGGGAGGCCCCGGAAGCTGGACACGCCCGCAGGAGTCGCCTGGCTCCTGGGGAGGGCCGCTGGTGAGCATCCGTGGGTCCGAGGGCCTTGATGGCAGGCGGCAGCTGGAAGGCAGCCCGTGGCCGGCTTGGCGCGGCTGTGGCCGGCTTGGCGCGGCTGTGGCCGGAGGCTAGGAGCGGCGCGCCAGAGCATGGTCTCAGCCCAGACTCGAGGGGAGCCGGATGGGAGCATGAGACTAGAGCAGCAGGCGGGGCCGTCGCAGGCCCGGTGCACAGGGCTGGTGACCTGGGAGCGAGAAGGACCCCTCTGCGCAGGGTCAGGCCGGCACTGCGCTGCTCGCAGGGCAGAGCTGCCTTGCCTCGTCTGTGGGTGTGGCTGGCTGTAGTTGGGGTGCCCTGGGGGAGTGGCCCTGGCCGTGCCCACACAGCTTCCCACCGACGAGGGTGATGCCGCCATTCCTTGACACACACGTGCACCCTTCCCCCCACCCCCACCCCCACCAATAGCAGGCATCCCGAGACTGTGTTCGGGTGAGGTGCCAGGCGCCCCCAGGGACCCTTAGGGTCCCAGGGAAGCGGGGTAGCAAGTAGACTCCGGTGCCATGCTTTGCGCCCCTTGCTGCCTTGGTGACACCACAGCTGCCTTTCTCTGGGGCGCTCTGCTCAGTGTGGATGGAGGCAGCTGACGCTGGGTAGGAGAACCCGGTGGGGGCCAACAGCTGTCTGTGCTGGGGGTGTGCTCAGTGGCTTCCTGTTGGGACCGGAAGTCTCTGTCTCGGTATTGAGTGAGACCCCTGGGCTTTCCAGAGGTACCTTGACTTCAGGCAGGGCAAGGGGAGCCTTGCGGGCAGGTGTGCCCCCAGAGAGCTGTCAGACCTCCCTCCCCAGCCCACAGTGGAGAGGGTCTCTGTCGGGCCCTGCCCCTCCACCACGCGGGCCCCGTTCTGGGGGTCTGCTCAGCCCTCAGGCCAGTGGAGGAGCCAGCCGGGCCCTTCCCTCCTACCCCCTCACCTTCCCACTCCCCGCACAGGTAAGTGAGGGTAAGGGGGGGCACCGCCGGGGTTGGGCCCCCCCAAGCCCGAGGGGGGAGGCGGGCTCAGGGTGAGAGTTGGCAGGTGCCGTGCTGAGGAAACCCTCTGGGTGCCCGAATGGGGGGCCCCCCACCCGCTCGTGGGGCCCTCCCCTGCCCTCTGCCCCCCTCATCGCCTTCTCCTCTTGTCTCCTAGCTTCCGCCCTGCGCTGCCCGTCTCCTACCTGCAGGCCGAGCTGGCCTTCGAGGGCGAGGCCGCCTGCCGGGCCTTCCTAGAGCCCCTGGGCCTGGCCTACGCGGGCCTGGACAACGCCAGCATCGACTGCCGCCTCAGCCTGGCGCAGCTGTCAGCCTTCTGAGCACCGCGACGGGGCGGGGCGGGGCTGCGCCCCACTGCGCGGCCTTTGCGGAGTTTGTTTCTGAGCCGTGGACTTGGGCTGTAAATTAATTTTGGGGAGTGGGCTCCAGGAGGAGCCACCCTCCCCTCCCCGTTTCCCACCGGGGAGTCTGTACAGAGAGTTTTTTCTACATTTTTATTTTTGGCCTCAGAGGGTTGGGGGGAAGGGCAGCGGGGGGTGGGGCGCAGTCTAGGCTCGTCCGTCCCGGCACCTGCACTAATGCTGTCTCAGTGTTCTCTCTCTCTCTCTCTCGAGCTCGTACTCCGGCACCCGACCCGGCACGCTGGCCTGTCCCAAGCTGGGGGGCCAGCGGAAGAGGACCGGCCGCCCCGCCTGTGCCCGCTGCGGCGCGGCCAGCACGCCCGCCCGCCGCCGCCTCGGCCCCGCCACAGACTCTTGTTGCCCAGCCCCCCGGGGCCACCGTGTTTGGGGTGCGGGGAGCCATGGAGAGACTGTGCCCTGCCTTCGGCCCCCCACCCCGGAAACGCCGACGCCATCGCCCCCGCCCGATCCCCCCCGCCACGGCGCTCCGAGGACTCCGGGGGCCTTCGCGGGACCTCGCCGGCCGGCCACCTCGTCTGCAGTTGCATTAAGTTGTCTCGTGTCCCCCCTCCCTCCACCCCCAATGTCTCTCCTGGTTTTTTTTCCCCTCCCCCCCCTCCTGTCCCTTTCCTCCCTCGGTTCAGCACAGGTAAAGCAGTTCCCTCCCCTCCCACTCCATGGATCACCAGCTCACGTCATGTTTCCTTCCTTCTTTCTGTGTGTGTTTATTTCAGTTATTTTTCTTCTTCCTCCCTTTTTCTTTTCGGCCTCCCTCCCTCCCTCTTCTGCCATGTAACTGGAGGGCGTGCAATGCGTCTGCAAACAGCTGGACTGTCAGGCTGCTTTTTTTCCAGATGTTTCTCCTCTGCCCCCTCCCCTCCTCCTCCCTTTCCTCCTTCATTCTTTCCTTGGAGCACTGCGCACCATTTGAAGCTTGAGAGAAACCAAAATTAAAGAGAGAGCGAGAGAGCACACCTGTTCTCTCTGCTTGGACTGGGCTTCCTGAGTGTGTCCCGGAGGGGTGTGGCGCTGTCACTCCAGGGCAATCTCCGCCACTGGGTCGTAGGTGTCCCCCGCCCTCCCCATGCGGCACAGCCAGAGTTTCCCCAGGGGCTGGTCGCCCAGCTCCTGCCCAGGCCCGAGCTCGGGCTTCGGGAGGCAGACTGGGGAGCCCCGGGGCACCTTGGCCAGGGTGAGGTGGGGACGCAGGCCTTCAGGAGGCTGCAGCACTCTCAGGCCCTGGGCCTCCAGCCTCTGGCTCAGTTCCTGGGCCATGCTTTCCAGGGAGGGGGAAGGCGGGGCACAGAGCACATGGGGGTTCAGGAGCACCAGTTCCCTAAAGCTCAGCCTCTGGGGTGCCTGAAGCCCGGGGACCAAGAGCACCCGTCTCAGGGCCGACACTGCGGCTTCCACCTCCCCAGGGCCGGCCAGGCGGAGCAAGGCCAGTGTCACGTGCAGGGCCTGAGGGGGCACGTTGAATGCAGCGCAGGCGGAAGAGGCGCGTACCAGCTCTTGCTGCGCCCTGGCCACGCCTGCCCGCAGCTCAGGGTCAGTCACCATCAGCGCCACGAAGTGTGTGGGCCGCGGCTGCCGGGCGGCGGCCCCGGCCCCGTGTCCTGCGCGCTCCCAGGGTCCGGCCCCCAGGCCCCGCTCGGTGTCCGGGCCTGCCCCCCCAGGCTGTCCTCCGGACTCGGCCTGCGGCTCTGGGGGCCGGATGGCAGTGGCCGGACTCCGCGCCCTTTCCAGCCGTGCCGCCGCGAAAGTCCGGCCTCCAGCCTCGCCCGGCTCGTGCGCCGGGGCTCTTGCTACCGGCCACGCGGGGAGCCGGGCCTCGGGGCTTCCACCTTCCTGGGCCGGGGATGTTGCGAGCTGCGTACGGGCTGGCTCTCCCGGCCCTCCGCCTCGGGCGCCTCCCGGCGGGTCCTCACGGTCCTGCGCGTCGGCCTCCGCCCCGTCCCAGCCGTCCTGGGCGTCCGCAGGCCCGAGCGCGCCCCCGACCACCGCGCCCTGACTGCCTTCCGCCCCGCGGTCCCCGGGCACGCCCCCGCCGTCCAGCAGGTCCAAGATGGTGGGCCCGCGGCCGGCCGCCGAGCCGGAGCCGAAGACGAGGTCGGTGCGCGAGGCGCGGTCCCACACCAGGCGGCCGCGGTGGCGGAAGTAGCGCACCCGGTGCTGCGGCACCGCCAGGACGCCGGGCCCGAGCGCCGCCAGCGGCTCGTCCCAGCAGAAGGCGCCGAAGGGCTCCTCGCGCACCCCCAGGAAACGGTCGATGTAGCCCACCGAGAAGTCGGCCGGGTCCAAGCGCGGATCCCAGCGGATGCGCTGGATGACGGCCGAGGCCGTGCGCAGCGGCGGCTTCTTGGTGCCGACCTTGGCTTCCGCCTCGGCCTCGGTCCCGCCTCGCGCCCCTGCGGGGGCCGGCGCCCCGGGA